ATGCCACCACACCTCCACCCTTGGGTACCAAGGAAGGGTACAGCGCCCCAGCCTGCAAGGCAGATAGATGGGCAGGAGAGGGAGGGGTAAGGGGAGGTCTTTGGCGCATGTGCAGACCCCAGAATCCCACTCCTCAGACACCCCATTCAGCAATTCCCACTCCATCCCACACACACACACACACACACACACACACACACACACACACACGGGCTGCAGACAAACCAGCGACAGGTTTCTATTCCTGGAAACTTACCCCCCCCCCCCCCCAGCCTGGGGAGTCATGCTTCCCTTGGGCCTGGCCACTAGCGCCCTTTCTGACCCAATGCCAGCCCTTTAACACCCCCCCCCGCCCCCCACACACACCCCTCATTCCGAGCGCTGCTCCAGTGTAGTTTCTATCACCAAATCCTAAAGATGAAGGGCCGGGGGTCTTCTTGGTGGGGGCACTTGAAACACCGGGAAGCTGTTCGCAGTATGTGTTCTTGGGGGTTAGGCACTGGGCGAGGGGCGTGTAGGGAGAGCCGAGACCTTATGATTCAAGACTTTAGCTACTGGGTGGTAGACCCTGAGGAAGAAATTCCCTCTCTCCCGTCTCTTACAGCAGCAAGAGCAAGACTGAAATGAATGTCGAAGTACATTAGCTTGCTAAGGGTTTTAAGAATTTAAGGGTTAGAAGAATTTCTATCTGTCACAGATGTTTGACCGTGACTTTACGTGAATGCAGTATCTCTTTGAGGGATATCAGCATGGCAACCTCATGCCTAGTGTGAGGAGGTCTTCTTCCTGCTCATCCCAGGCATCTGTGATATGTAGGGCGGGCATCAGGGAGTGGGAAACCCTGAAATGATCTTGTATCCTTCCTCTATTGCCGCATAACAACCCCCAAACTTTAATACGATGGTTTAATACAATGATATATACACTTAATGCCTTTCAGACAGTTTCTGTTGGTCAGAGGTTCAGGGGCGCTTTGGCGGGCTGCTGGCTTGGGGCGGGGTCTCTCGGGCACCTGCAATCGTGTGTCCGATGGAGCTACAGTCATTGGAAGGCTGGGCTGAGCTGGAGAATGGACTCCCTCCGTGGCTCCCTTCCGTGACTCACCCGTGCGGCTGGCTGTTGGCAGGAGGCCGTGGCTCCTCTGCCTGAAGGTCTCTCCACAGGACTGCCTGAGTGTCCTCACCGCCTGGCGGCCGACTTCCTCCAGAGCAAGGTAGCCGAGAGAGAGCCAGGCAGAAGTCACACTGACCCGGCTCTCCGAGGTCACACCTGTCACCTCCACTTCGGCCGCGTGGGCCAGCCCTGATTCGGCGTGGAAGGAAGGAGAGTTCACGAGGGGTGAGGAGGGGAGATCACGGGGGGCTGGCTCTCACACACATCATCTCGGAAGTCACATCTGTTTTCCTAATTTTGAAAAAGTTCAAACCTACACAAAAGGAGAGAAAAGATTGCAATGAACTCCCAGGCAGTGATCATTCCCATTCAATTACTGTTAAGGAAATTCCATCATTTTATTTTGTACCGTGTCCCTGAGAGACACATGCCTTTTCCACCAAACCCTCACCCCCATAACTTTCCTGAGATGCAGTGTTCCAGGCTCTCTCTTGCTCACCCTCTCTGCTGTGTTTAAGGGATGGAGGAGAGACAGATACAAGGAAAGAAGGACCCTGATGCTGGACACCAGCCTCAAGTGTCTGCAGCTTGGAGAGGCCGCCACAGGTATGGTCCTTAGTCGGTCCTCCCCCCAACCCACCAGCTCATTCAGAAGTAACCATGCCAGGAACCCTTTACTCCCTCTGCCCCACTCCCTCCTGTTCCCGGTCTCCCACCCCCTAAAAAAAAAAAAAGAAGTAACCATGCCATTTTCAAATTTTAATCTGCGTTCAGATCACCTGGGGATCTCGTTAACCCAAGGATCCTGAAGCAGTCGGTGTAGGGCGGGGCCTGAGGTTCTGCATTTCTAATAAGCTCGGTGATGCAGACACTGCAGGGCCACAGAAGCCGTAGCCACTAGCTCCCTGTGGCTATTTAAATTGATTACAATTAAATAGCATTATCAATCACTTCTTCGGTTGCCCTAGCCTCCTTTCAAATGTTCAATAGCCACATGTGACTAGCTGCGCTATTGAACATAATCACGGAAAGTTCCATTGGGTGGCAGAGTGCAGAACATTGACTCCTAATGACTTTCCCACAGCTGCCTCCTCGCCCAGAACAACCATCTATTAATTCACAACAAAAAGAGAACCTCAGCAGGATGAATAGCAACAGGTTGTTTACCGTGGGCATTAGTTTCCCCTTGGATCAGCCCAGGGTTCCTACATGCAATTTGGAAGGTTGTTCGGTTACCTCGGCATTTGAGCAAAGGAGGCTGGCTGTGTCTGCCAGGGTATGAGGCTGGATGAGTTGCTTCTCTCTCTACTTGGAGTATTTTTTCCTCAGTAACGAGTACTGGGCATCACCATCGAAGTTGGAGACTGCAGGGAGACACCCCTAAAAAGCTCCCTTTCGACTCCTTTTCGACTCCATGTGGCTGGCCGCCCTTCTTTTAGGGCAAGGGACAAGGTAGTCCTAAAGTGTAGGACACCGAGGGGTCCACTTCACACTGTACATGTCCCGACAGAACTTTTATATGCTATTCTGTCTGCTTACATGTCCACTTCCCCATTAGACTGCATGCTCCTCAAAAGCAGTGATTGGCCCTAGGTCTGGCTCTTAATCGGCATTCAAAATATGTGTTGTTTGCCCTAGCCAGTGTCGCTTGATGGTTAGAGTGTTGGCCGAGCACCGAAGGGTCATGGGTTCAATTCCCGGTCCAGGGCTTGTAGCTTCAGCCCAGGGGTTGCAGGGTCAGCCCGAGTCAGGCCTCAGTCAGGCGCTTTCAGGAGGCAACCAATGGATATCTCTTCTCTCACCCCGCACCCCCAGCTTCCACTCTCTCTATAAAGCAATGAAAAAAATATCTCTCGAGTGAGGATTAACAGCAAAATGTTTATTGAATTAATTCATTAATTAATGGCATTAAATCGGCATATTTATTATATGTTAGTCTCGATGTCTGGTGTAGGAGTAAGGGCAGAGCATAGGGTCTGGGCTTGGACAAGTCGCAGCTGTACGCGGGCTGCGTGACTTTGGGGATTGCACGTGGTTCTACCCAATCTCATTCCATGATCTGCCAAATGGGAGCAAGACTAGCAGCTGAGCTTCCTGGTATCATTTGGGGGATCAAATGAGCTAACAGTTGTGAAGGTGCCTCATCACCTACAAGTATTACCTTTAAAAAGGTTTCGTTTTCTCCATCAGAGTTAGGAGAGCCTGGTCTTGGTATCAGCATGTGTACGGATCACCTCGCACGGTTTTATGTCTTGTTCCCACGTTCTAGAGTGCCGCCCATCTGGAAGATTCATTCATATTTCGTTTAAGTTCCCCCTCTCTGGGTTCACTATCTTTTACAATTTAAAAATAGTTATAATTTTTAAATACAATTTAAATTAAAAACATTTTAAGACCCTGGCTGGGTAGCTCAGTTGGTTGGAGCATCGTCCCAATATGCCAAGGTTGCAGGTTCGATCCCCGGTCAGGGCACATACAAGAGTCAACCAATGAATGCATAGATAAGTGGAACAACAAGTCAGTCTCAGTCTCTCTCTCTCTCTCTCTCTCTCTCTCTCTCTTACTCTCTCTCTAAAAATCAATAAGTAAAAAATATATTTAAAAACTTAAAACATTCTTGCATTTTGTGGAGACCCCGGTGATGTTACTAACATCAGGACAGATCTGTAGTCCCTGGAGTATCTCCACAGAGAGGGGGCTCTAGCAGGAAGCTGGTTCTGGCGGGGGGGGGGGGGCGCAGTAAACATGAGTCCTTTGCGAAGATTTGCTTAAATCGCCAGAAGGTAAACCCTTACCATTGGATGGAGCCCTTTCTACAGAGTTCACCCGTGTTTCCGTTTTTGGTTTGTCCCTGCAGGTGCTCAGTCTGGAAGATTCCTGTTGCCATTCCCCCACCCCCACCTCCATAAACCGTCACTCCCTTCTCTGACCCTTTAACATTGAACGTGCCCTTCAGCACGCTCACCCATTATTTACTCCCCAGGAGGCACATGTTTCCTCTTTGGGGACAACTGACCTCTGGCACCCTCTGGGCTACTTCTGACCCCTGCCCACCTCAGCCCTGCTCGCTGGACCTGCAGAAAGCACCTGGTGTGGGTGTGAGCTGGGGCAGAGGAGGAGTCACCGCAGGGGGAGGGGTGCCGTAGACACCTTGCCGCGCCCTGGGCTCTTCAGGTTTGTCAAATAAACCGCAAGGCACCTTGTTGAATCTGCAGCTCACGTTCACGGTCTGCAGATCACCACAGAGGTGATCATTCCTGATGACTAAATCGTGAGCACTTTCTTGACTTCTGACGCCCACGTATGGTCATCTCAAAGCACTCTCGTGCTGAGTCATCAGGGAGACGCGCCCTCGAAATACTGCTGACAAATGCCTGGTTCACAATGTTCTTCCAGCCTCCGGGGGCGGCTCCAACGCCACAGTCAGCCTGCAGCTGACCAGACATCCCGGGATGAAGGCTGGTTCCGAGGCCCCGCAACCAACAAGGCTCCCCTGCCGCGCCCGCAGTGTGGCGTGGGCAACCAGGCTGGTTGGGATCGAATCCTGGTTGTGCGGCTCCTTTCACCAAAGGTGACTCGAGTCAGTTACTTAACCTGTAAAATGGGCGTTTCAACTGTCCTTCCAATCATGGATCTCTCTCGTCTTGACGTCATGAATTCACTATCACCGGGAGCATTCAAGCTGAGGCTGGGTGGCCACTTTGCACAGATGCCCCTCCATTTGTTTGTTCATTCATTCTATCACACACACACACACACACACACACACACACCATTCACATAGAACAAGAACTTGTGAGTGTTTAGGAGTGAAATGCAAAGACAGACACAGGAAACTGTCTCTGTTCTCAGGTGCCATGATTTGGTGACGGAAACCGAGACACAGATCATGGCAGCGCGTGTGACAGGTGACAGAAGAGCCTGTGTGTAAAGGGCTTTGGAGGCTGGGGAGAGAAGGGAGCACACTTGTGGAGGAGCCTGTGTAGGGCTAGAGGTGGACCAGATGGCCCCCAAGTCCTCTTCCGACTTTGGTGTCCTGGGCAGTGTTGGGGCCAAGGAGTGGCCTGGGAGGCCTTTATCCAAGCCACTCCAAACAGCTGTACCATATATATAAGAACCCCAATGGCCTGGCTGGTGTGGCCCAGTGGTTGAGCGTCGACCCAGGAACCAAGAGGTCACGGTTCCATTCCCAGTCAGGGCACCTGCCCCAGTTGGGGGCTCGATCCTCAGTAGGGGGTGTGCAGGAGGCAGCCAATCGATGATGTTCCTCTCTCATTGATGTTTCAATCTCTTTATCCCTCTCCCTTCCTGTCACTAAAAACAAAAACAAAACAAAACAAAACAAAACAAAAAAACAATGGACTTGCTATACAAACAGTTTGAGGATAAGTCTTCCAACCACATGGCGGTCTCTTAGTTTGTTCTACATAGAAACTCTGGAGCTGCTGCTCATGCTGAGGTTCTCTATTTTGCAAAGCTATCAAGTCACAGGTCTGAGCCCTTCCCAGAGAGTGTCCTCTGAATGGACCGCCTTCAGTCTACGATTTGGGCAGGAGAGGCGGGGTCTGCCAGTGGGAGTGCTGGCGAGGAGGAGGAAGCGGGCAGGGGGAGCGCGTGGAGCCGTCCTCACCCCCAGGGCTGTCTCCCCGTGGCTCTCCCGACAACCCTGACGTTGGAAAGCATTGCAGGTTTTCCTTGTTTTCTTTCCTGCGTCCACAGCCAGGGCACCTGCCCTCGCTCCCTCCCACCAAGGTCACCCTCAGCAGGCTGTGATAAATGTCATCTTTTTTCGAAAGTCGCCTTGGAAAAAGGCAATTTGACTGCAGTGAGGCAGAACAGGGAGCCGCAGGGCAGCCCTTTATCGACCAGAGCCCAATCCCGAGAACAAAGCCAAGAGGAGTGGGGAGCTGCCTGGGCTCCTGGTGAACGGCCACCTCCCCCTGGGACCTGTGTGCAGGCCTGGGCCCTGGGGTGGGTCTCCTCCTCCCTCTTTTCCTCTCCCTGCCCTTGTCTTCTGCTACTTGTTTCCTGGCTGGTAACTCAAGGTCCCCGAGAACCCCCACAGCTCTGGGGGTGGGAGCCCTCTCACCGTGGGCTGCTGATTAGTGCAGGGAATAAATAACAGCAAGCTAATTACCTCCTGATTGCCGCTCGCCTCACTAACGAGGCCGGGCTGGAGTGGAGATGCTGCAGCTGGTCTTACTCCAAGCATGCGTCAGGGTTCAGGGAAATTTCCATGCCTTCCCGCTGCCCGGAGGTCCACGTGGAGGTGTTCCCACGCCTGCTTCACTTGGGATTCAGAGACTCGCCCCAGACACTGTTGGTATCAGACCTTTGTGGGCGATGGAGCGGGCTTCTTGAGGAAGCAGGGAGAGGCTTTCCTGGAGGCGTGGGGGTAGGCCAAGGTCATGGGGAGATGGGTCCTCAGGGGCCGCGCTCTCGAGCACTTAGTATCCTAATTGCATCTGCTGCTCCAGCTGCCGGAGCTGAGCGGTTCCCATCAGACTTGCAAGCAGAGGGGAGAAGTGAGGGCACTGGCTTTGGACTCGGCGGGTCTGGCTTCTAGTCCTACCCCGCTACCTCCGTGACCTTGACCACGCCCTTCAGTCCCTCTGGTCCTCGATTTCCTCTCTACGAAATGACGGTTAGGCAAACCTTGGGCTTCACTGTCATAGAACTCACGACAAACACACAGAACCCGGCTCGGCGGGCGTGGCTCAGTGGTTCAGCATCGACCTATGAACCAGGAGGTCATAGTTCTATTCCCGGTCAGGGCACATGCCTGGGGTGTGGGCTCCATCCCCAGTGTGGGGTGTGCAGGAGGCAGCCGATCAATGAGTCTCTCTCTTCATTGATGTTTCTCTTTCTCTCTCTCTCTCTCGCTCCCTCTCCTTTCTTCTCTGAAATCAATAAAAATATATTTACCCCCCCACCCCCCTGCCAGGACCCGGATCCTCTTATAACAAAACAGCAGCCAAGCCCAAGTTGAGGAATATTCTGCAACGTAACTGGGCCTCCTCTTCCAAATCCCAAGATCACAGAAGCCAGGAAGGCCGAGACTGCTCCAGCTTCAGAGACTGAAAGGACAAGGCAAGTACATGCGACCCATGGTCTGGGGTTGGCTCCTGGCCCGTCAGCAGTGTTATTAGAATCATCGGTGACATGTGAATGGGGTCTTTGGACTAGTCACTAGACGGTGGTTTTGTATCAGTGTCCGCTTCCTGATTGTCATGTTGTTCTGTGGTTAAGTAGGAGAATGCCGTGCTTTTAGGAAACACACACTGAGGTGTTAAGAGCTAATGGGGCGTCCCTCCTAAATGGATCAGAAATGACACAGTGTACATGGGGGGGCGGGCAGAGGGAGCGAGGGGACCGCGCCAGGAGGCAAGAGTGTTCCAATCTGAAACGTAAGACATTGAGGAACTCGGTGAAAGGTATTCGGGAGCTCGTTGGACCCTTCTTGCAGTTTTTCTCTAAATTTGAAATTATTGCAAGAGAAAAAGTTTAAAAAGGTCATAGATTGTTTAGCGTACAGAACAGCTGTGCCTTCGGACAGGGCAGGAAAGACCCGTGGCGAGAGCTGGGAGGTAAGGAGAGGCGAGAGGCCCGGAAGTGTCATGGGGAGCTCAGGGGTTGGGGCTCCGGGAAAAGGCACTCGGTCTCGAGCCTCTGATGATAGTGTGCGCCCCACCAGAGAGTCACGTGGCTCAAATCAACGCAGGTGACAGCTCCTTGTAAGTCATAAAACAGAAGCCGAATATGATCACTCGTCGTCTCTCCTTCCTCCCGGGAACTACAACGAATGATCGTGAGACGTCTCTCCCGTCCTGCCATTCCTCTCCGTTCTCTAGTTTCATACGGACGTGGTTATTCTCAGAGGTTGTTCCCTTTAAGGACTGGGAACACCGAGGCCCCGCACCCAGGACCGGAGAGTTGATGGCAAAGCCGCCAGGACTGCCGTGGTGCGTGTCTGCGTCCCTGTGTGCATGTGTGTGTGCCCTGTGTGCACGTGTGTGTGTCCGTGTGTGCACGTGTTCCCGTGTGTGCACGTGCACCCGTGTGTGCCTGTGTGTGCACACGTGTGCGCGCGCGCCTGTGTGTGCATGTGTGTGCTTATGTGTGCTCGTGTGTGCATGTGTGTGCTCGTGTGTGCATGTGTGTGCTCGTGTGTGTGCACGTGTGTCCTGGAAGCCTTGATTTCAGGCGCCTTCTCTGTGAGCAGAGAGACCCCTGGGGACGGACGGGTGCGGCTGCAAATCCATGACCACCTGCTGGGGGGCCTGGGCGGTCTCTTCGGGGAGGAAGGCCCTTCGTCCGTCCCTCCTGGAGCAATGCTGTGTGCGCGGCGGCACAAACCGTGGGGTCCTCGCGCCACAGAGCGCAGCCGAGCTGATAGCCAGACGGCAGGGTGAGGTCATCAAAGCCATCGCTGCTGCTTACACCCTTTCCGAAGCCTCTCGCCGACATGCCCTCCCGGGAGCCTTAACACCACAGCAACTCCTGCTCCCGGCATCTTCGCACAGCTCAGAACAGCCTAGCGGCCAGGGAGACAGGCCTGGCCCCGTGCACAGGGCTGTGAGGGCCCCGTGGGACCCCCAGACCGAGGCTAACAGCACTCCCATGGGAGATGGTCTGTCATGGGCACCTTGCACTTCCCTTTCCTGCCTCCAGGGGTCGCTGCTCCCGGTGCCCTGGCTTCTCAAGGGCATCCCTGCTGAAGCCCCCTCTGCTGGGCTCCCTCTCCCGGCGGCCTGGCTACCACGCTCCCCCCACACTCTGCCCACACCCCCAGGGGGTCAGCACCTGAGCCCCTGCTGCTCCAGGCTGCTCTGGAGCCAAGAGAGGGGACCGTGAGGGTGAGGCCTCCGGCCCACGGCCTGGAGGAGCTGGCCCAGGAATCATGCACAGCGTCTCTGATTCCCAGGCCCGCTGCCCTGTCACCTAGTCCGTGTGCACATTTCTTCTTTTGTTTTTGTCTTTTTTAATATGTTTTGGTTGATTTCAGAGAGGGAGAGAGAGAGAGAAACATCAATGATGAGAGAGAATCATGGATGGGCTGCCTCCTGCTCGCCCCACCCTGGGGATTGAGCCCGAAACCCGGGCATG